TGAGAATTTTTTTTTTTTTTGACATTTCATAGGAAGGCCTCTCACTAACATAGGATGACATATAAACCAGAATCACCTCCTCGCGGCCGTATCCCTCCGCCACTCAGACTAGTTTCAGGTTACAAGTCTTGAGTTATGGCTAAAAAGTGTTTTGTGAGGTCACCGTGACTTTGACCTTTGACCACCAAAGTCTAATCAGTTCGTCCTTGAGTCCTAATGAATGTTTGTGCCAAATTTGAAGAAGTTCCATCGAGGCGTTACTGAGATATCGTGTCCATGAGAATGGGATGGACGGATGACACGAAAACAACATGGCTCTGGCTCCAGGTATAAAAACAATGGGGAGATATTTAGGCCTGTTTTCAAATAAAGGTTCTCCAAGCAACGTTTTGGGCAAAAAAAAGCTGTTGGGAACATTTTGATATTAAACCCACATGTTTCACGATGCCTCAGTGTAATAATCAAGTGAGACAGCAGAAGAAGATGTGAATTAATCCATCCTGCCAAACCTCAGCCAATCAGGACGAAGTGAGGCGGAGAGGAAAACGAACATGTCAGACAGAGTGACGGCTGCGTTGAGACGCTGCCTCGCGGGTTTGTTTTTTTTTTTTTTTTGTGTGTGTGTGTGTCTGTGTTTGTTTTTCGTCTCTGACAAACAGCGACTGTGCGTCAAAATCACAAACTGTTCTCTGTTCGTTCAGCCGACACCGGAGCGTTTGCCAAGACACGAACCTTATTTGCTCCACATTTGCATCATCTTTGTCTCTTTATCTTTTTGTGAGGATGAGAGAGAGAGAGAGAGAGAGAGAGAGAGAGAGAGAGAGAGAGAAGCTCAACAGAAGCAGAAAACCAACTCCCAGAATAGATCTGGAGGGAGGATTGTCCCAGAGAAAGTGTTTCTCTACTGACTGAGCTGTTGTGTGTCTGAATAGAGACTCAGCACAGGATCACCTGTCACCTGTCCTGTTATTAAAAGGAGCACTGCCCTGTTTTGGATATTCGGCAACCAACCGATCAATCCCATTCTGTGCCGGTCAAGTTCACACTCGTGCCCCACTCGATGGTTCATGTCGCACATACAACAGCACACATACAGCTACACACACACACCTGTCATCTGCATGGACGTTCTTCGCCTTGCAATTTGTAACACCTGTCAGGTAAAGTATGCTGAGGAGGAACAACCACAAAAACAATCAGACCTACAAACTTAAAACACCACCACGCTGAGCATCCAATTTCAAGAAGCTAGCAAAGGCAAAGCGGCTGAAACTAGAGCCACACCGCTCACCTCAAAACAAGGCATTTGAAGATGCCACATTGAGCTTTGGGAAGTTATGAATAAATGAATGAATGATGAATCAATTAATCAAAAAAGTAAGATTAATCGATGATAAAAAAAAGCCCTTATTGCAATATTTCTGACAAATATTGTGATTTAAATGGTGACTGTAAATAAGTTTTCTGCACTTCATTATTGAGGTTGTATGTTTTGAAATTAATAAATTTTGAAAGCAAAAGTGGTGTTATATTCACATTGATTATTTATCTAGATAAAGACTCACAATCTGTTGGGTTTTTTTTGGTTTTTTTGAAAAGCAAAACCACACAGTCCACTCTCAATCTCTTCAAACATAAAAATTAAGGTTGAACCTAACAATTAGTTCCATTATTGATTAATCTGCTAAATATTTTCTCTATGAACAGTGAAGAATGACAGGCCACAGGCCGAGGGGATGTATGAGGAGAGCTTGTTTTAGTCGACCAACTTGCTTGGTCTGAATATAACAGTACAGACACCAGCATGCAGACAGCTTAGTAACTAATCAATAGAAAAGAGTTTCATCATGTATTTTGAATAAGTCTGGAAATTAACATTAACGGGCCACAGCTGAGTAAATTTGCCATCATCAGATGTTTCACAGCTGGCGAAACCAACGGCAACAACAACAATAACAAAGTCGCGGCTCTTGAAATTTCAAAACTGCGCTTTCAGATTTCCATTTCTATTTCTGAATGATTTCTCCTTCAGTGTTATGTACGGGTATCATCACATCAACACAACATTTCAGTTTGTTTGACTGATTCATGTGTAGCACCGACACTGAGCAGTTATCTCAGCCTCCTGCTCTTTCAGCCCGAGTCTGAATTCTCTTTTTTCACTCAAAGCAACAAATTTTTCTGATGAAAAAAGATGAAAAAAGTGGCAGGTGACCTCTGTAATGCAGATGAAAGCCCAGTGTCCTCACCCCTCATACGGACGTCCAGCAGGAGGTCGCCTGAGTCACGCATTGTGTGATCTATCCCACGGCGACCGGCCGCCGCTTCAAAAAAGCAGGAGGGAGCGCTCGTCTTTTAACTCTCACAGGCGGGTGGAGAAAGGATGAGTAAACTCCTCAGTGCTCATGAATATTCGTCTGCAGCTGCACAGAGCAGGAGCAGTGGAGAGGAGGATCCAGTAGCTGAACAATCAGCCGACTGAGACAAAAACTGATTAGTAACATAACGTTACTCTTCACACTATAATTCATTCTGTCATCTCTCTGCCCTCCAGCACAGGGTTTCCTCAGGAAGTAGGTTAGTAAAGGTGCCAAGCGCTGGCTATACGTTTTTTTCCTGACTCTGAAGTGCTGCAGAGTCAATGTACAATGAAAGTGATCGATCAATCACCTGTTAAGCTGAATCACACACATCCTGACATCATTATCAGCACAGTTACTGGATGATAATCTAATCAAACTCTTGGCAGCACTGCTCATCTTGCCCGAAGCTTAATAAACCTAACTTTATATTATTATTTTATGATTTTATGACTCAATAATTCATTTGTCATTCATGTAGTTTATCCAACCAAACAAACTTCAGCAACATCAGACAGATTAAAATAGACAACTGATTTTTTTTAAGGCAGGTAAACACATATAAAGCTCATCTGAGGAAAGTACAGTTCACCTCATCAAAAACTGCATTTATTCTAATAAACGAGTTTCTTTTTCATCTTTTCAGCCCTCATTTCAATCAGTGATGAGTGGAGATGTAAACATCAGCCAGGGCAATAGAGTCAAATGATACAGGTGGGGAAAAAATTTAAGTAAAAATTGAATTATAGAAACAAAAATTATGTTAACCTCTACAATTCTCAGATTTTGACTTTAGTGTCTCCCAAAACACACACATATGACACATATAGACCTCATACACATTTCTGCCAATGGCTGTGTTCATCAAATGAAATGTGAGCCACATGACACCTTTTTCTGGTACCAGACGAACCAAGAAATGCAACCAAGAAAGGCAAAGAAGAAGAAGAACACTGCAAGCAAGTGGATGTAAGAAATTCAGGTTTAAAAATATTCTAAAAAAAAAAAAGAAAAAGGAAGAAGATGCAATTGAAATGTTTGGTAGCCCTGAAGGATACACACACTGAATGTGTGTAACAATCACAGAGCTGTGATTGTTCATGAGAAAACTCCAACAGGAAGCTTTAAACAGGACAATACGAGAGGACAACAGATAATTGTAGTGTGCTCCAGTGCTTTTGTGCACAGATAAGGTTGTCATACTTGTGAGAGACAGATTAAAAGATGGTTAAAATCAAAGCAGCAGAGTTTGAGATTTCCTGACTTTCACTACCAAGTATGTGACCTTACATTTACCCCAATGCAACAGCAATGCAATGTCTTTCATCAGAGCCCCCACCCCACCCCCTGTCTGATATATATGGGATGGAGGGTAGAGAGGGAAAAGATTCCAATATTAACAACTTGTCAGTGTTCACATCACCAACTGGCCTAAAATTCAAGGGTCAGAGGTCACATCAACAACATCACATTACTGCAAACATCAACTTAACAACACCTGATCTGAACCTGAAAAATGAAAAATGACAGTAGCACTATGTAAATCTACCATTACTTTAAATATATTGGGGAACAAAGTGACTCTTTAAACAAGAGTGTACCATCATCAAGTAACTTGGTACTGTACACATGGAGATAGTAAACACAGCTCTACATGTACATAGGTCACCGTTCATGTCATACCGTCTACGGGAAAGTAATAAATAGCTAATGTGAGCAGTGACAACACACACCCCCCTATCTATAGGTTTCTTCTGTACAGGTGCCGATAAGCTTGTTTTTAGCTAATGTTACTTCAACGTCTACAGCAAGTTAACCGTTAGCTAGTTAGCCTGCTAGCCAACTTTAGCAAACACGAACGTAGCAGGGAGAGTAGCTTAGCTATCCTCCGGTTTAACAACAACATACGCATCTTACAGTAGCACCCAGGACAAGAATACACTTTAAACCGATTTTACACAATGCTGAAGTAAGCTAGTGAACAAATAAACATGTGAGAAAGTATAACGAACGAGATAATATTCTGTTCTGCCGTATAGTTGAATGTTACGCCAAACTCCATTCAAATTCCTTCGGTTTGAAGTTGCATTGATTCTACGCAACTACACACAGGAAACAGAAGATATTATGAAAGTTTTTATGAATATATACACTCTCTTGGTAAATTCGGCAAACATACAAAACATAAATCCGCGCGTTATTTGATTAATATTTCAACTTTCCCCCGGACCGCAAGCGGTGGAAACTAGCATGACTTCAGGGGCAAAGAGTACTGCGAGAGCCAAAATACTAACTCATTAAAGACAGTTTTATTCAGCTCAGAGACTCGTTTTGTACTTGACGTAGGCTGAAATTTAGGGTGGATTGTATAGACATGTAAAATGTGTACACGCTTGCTGTAAGTGGTGTATTATTTTATCAGTAAGTAATGAAACACAAAACTTCACATTTTTTACTTTGAGTCTGGCCACTCATTCTCTTGCTAAAATACAACGGGGTTTCGAGTTACGTTGAAATGTCACTAAACAAACTTCTACCAAGTAATGAACAACATTAACCAAAGGACAATCGTGGGATTATGTCACTATGTAGAATTAAACACCACATTAACAGCTGGAAGCAAAAGTAAAAAAAACTTACGGCTCCAGTTTGTTTTTCCCTCGCTTGGTTTCGAATTGACGGGTTGTTGTAATGCGCATGCGCGCAGGGAGCACAGGAAAACACTATTACTACTGCTATTTATATAAACAATAAAGTGACTGAAATTCAAGGGGAATAGATTATTAAAAAAAAATAATAACATTAGAAAAAAACAATATAATCATATAACATATGATAAATAAATAATTAGAATAAAAATGCAGAAAATAGTAGTAAATGACAATAAATAAATATTTTTTTCCTTTAGATCTTCAACTTCAGCTGTTCCTGACTTATAAAATATTTAATAAGCTGCAAAGACTCAACATATTAAGATGGAACAAGAACACATGTTCTTCTTTACTAGAAAAAACAAAGATTAAATTATATATATTTTGAAATAATTTAATCATTTGAATATTTTTCCACCGCTACACTGAAGGCAGCCTGTCCAAAGGTCCACCCCGCACTGTGATACAGCAGTTTTCTGTGTTGGCCATCTGACAGGAGCTGAAGTCTGCCGAGGAGAGAGGGGGGGTGTGATACCAACATCAGGGAGGTTGACCTGCCAGCCTCCAGTCTCCGCCGGAGGTGACAGTGTACGACCGAGGACTTCACACTCAGTGACTCCACCCTGCTATGAATGGTGTGTTTGGGAGTCATTTCTGCAGCGTTTCCTCCTGTCAGGAGTCAGAATAATGTCTGCTGCTGAAGTGCAGACGCCGGCGGCATCAGAAACCCACGCTGGGAGAGTCTTTCTGCTTTTCAACACCACTGAGTCTCTGGTCTGAGATGACATGTGGGCTGCCCGTGTAATGTTTACTCCCTTCATGTGTTAGTGAGCAATCCTGGCTCGGTCATCAGCTCCCATGTCATGCTGTCAACAGGTAAACACTGGCATCAAGAAAACATTACACAGCAACCAGTATTTTATTTATTTTTTTAACCACCTGGTGCACATTGGTGATGTAAACCTACTTCACATATCAGGCTTTTCTCAGTCTGTGTTCTCATCTGTTCTTGTTGTCATCAGTCAGTCCATACAGAAATGTAATATATGACATATGTGTCCCTGTATCCAGAGTGATAATAGTAAAACACTGCCAGGGTTTATTTTTCTGCATTGTGGATACTCTCAAGTACAATTTGCTGATAATACTTTCTTCAACCACAGTCAAATCTGTACATGAACACGCCAAAGTGTTCATGTGTCACTAATTTACCCACAATGCTTTGGGAACTGATTCCTGACTTGTGTGAACTTGAGGCAGACAAGCGTCCCAGCATGCATTTTACACAAACGATGGTGGAGGATATGAGCCTCATTCACGACTGTTATAATCACCATTCTACAGCTGTTACTGTGTCACCAGATTTAGTTTTGATTAACTGTAGATCTCAAACATGTGTTTGCTTTATCAAAACAAAAAATGGAAAATGAGCTCTTCTGTAGCCGATCATCGCCCGTGGTCATCCCATGTCTCTGTAGAGATTTAAACAGAAGATATAATTACGTTTGAGAGATAAACTTTGGTCTCAAAGGTTGAAATCCAATATTTATTGCTGCCAGATTTATTTTTCTAAAGTTATAGTTCATTTTTTATGAGACAGTTTAATGTTGTCCAACAGCCCTGCCTCTGCGGACCTCTGAGTTCTTATATCTCCGGATCTCAGCACAGTTCAATAAACTTTCATAAACTAAATCAAACAAAGGCAGTGTGGTGAATCATGTTAGATTTCATTTTGTTGTTAAACAGAAATTACAGGTGTAACAGTGTACTGAAGTGTTTAAACAAGATCACTGTTCCAGTTGTAACTTCAGTGTCTTTCGTCTGAGTCTGAGTTTGGACTCTGAGGTTCAACTTCCAAAGTCTGAACTCTCAAGTGATGTAACTTGGTGATCGGGGATGGTTGTAACATCCTTGACATTTCTGTCTGTGTCTCGTTGCTCTTTTAAGCCAGTGCGTTCAAAAATTTAATACAAACTAGTTAAACGTGTCTGCTATTAAATGCTGTAGGTGTTACCTCAGCAACACAGACAGAAAATGTCTGGTTTAGTCTCAAACACGAGGAGTGTTAGTTTTTTCCTTCTAAAATCGTCTGTCTGACCAATGTTACAACCATCCCCAGTCCCCCTGCTTGTGTTGTGGTGCGTATGGCTTGTACCACTGATCATATGAAGAGCGCATTAGAGCCTTATGAGAGGTGGGGCTGAGACTTTAAACTGCATCCAGTGTCACTGGAGGGAAGATCAGAGGATCATCAGCGTCGTCAGGAATCATCCTTTGGTGAGGATGAAGATCAAGGGTGAATTTCATGTCAAGTAATTATAGAGATATCTTTCTGCAGATCAATCAGGATCAATCAGCGTCATTAAGCCCGGGGCAGAAACAACAACTTCCCTCTCATCAAACAGCGGCTCCGCTCTGAGCCATCGCCGGCATCATATCCATGTTACATTATCGATGGAAACCTCAGAAGCGCTTACAACCAGATTACTGACTGTTTAATTAAATTGAAAAATGCCAAACACTCACAGTGCCTGTGATAGAGAACATAATTCTGCTGCTGTATTAGCAGGAGGCTCATTACTCAGCACTAATGAGTTTCTCCTGCAGAGGCACATCACAGCAGCCGGCCCGAGCTTCTGTTGCTGCTTTATGTTTCTAATCAACCGTCCTCCTCCGTGAAAAATATCACCAATAAAACACATACATGAAGCTGTCTTCAAGATGGAAAACAACAACTTCCATATTGTTCTGTTTGGCCCTGTCGCTGCCTGGGGGAGGAGAGGGGAGGAGGAGGAGGAGAGGAGGGGAGGGGGTCATTAGCTGCTCCTGATGGTGGATACCGTTCACACTGACCTCAGGATCATGCTGCTGTTGCTGCTGCTTGTAATTAAGAAATGGGAATCTGACCCCAACTGTGTGACCGTCTCTGCACGAGGCGTTGTTGCATCTTCACCGGGTTTCAACACGATATAGTTTTAACAGACGCTCGTGTAACAGATTTCTGCCTCTGAAACGACCTCAGCCTCCAGACTGGTCGAGACTCCTTCACCGCTCTGGAGCTCTAACTTTGGGTGTCCCCCCCCCCCCCCCCCCCCCCCCCCCGTCACTACACTCAGCTCAGAGCGCTCCTTCAATTGTATAATTGATCAAATGTTAAAAATTCTAAGATCAAAAACTCAAAGATCAACACGTTGTATGTAATTTGCTTAATACGTCCACAAATAGAAACATAAAAGCAACAATTTATTGTTGAGATTGGAAACAGCAGCTGACAACAGCTGTGCTATTAGACGCTGTTTGATTGTATCAGATGACAGCCAACATCTGTCTTTCTGATGTGAGGGCCCGAGCCAGCTGGGAAATGTAATGTAATCTCGTCTAATCTAGCCTAGTATAATATGTAGTCCAATCTAATCTCATGTAATCCAGTGTAGTCTATTCTATAGTCTATAGTTTTATCTAATCTAGCCCAATCTGTTCTCTGGTCTAATCTATGGGCTATTTACTAATCTAATCTAATCGAACCTAATGTAATGTAATGTCTAATCTAATCTAATCTAATCTAATCTAATCTGATGAAACCTTTAGTCTAATCTAGTCTATAAACTAATCTGATGTAAATGAATCTAACCTAGTCTGTTCTGTAATTTAATATACTCTATTCTTGTCCATCCAATTTTATTTTCATCCAGTTTTATATAATCAAGTCTTCTCAAGTCAAATCAAATCATTAATTGAATTGAATCTAAAGTAATTTAGTATATTCCCTAATCTAATTTAATATAAACTAATCTGATCTGATCTGATCTGATCTGATTTGATCTAATCTAATCTAATCTAATCTAATCTGATCTGATCTGATCTGATCTGATCTGATCTGATCTGATCTGATCTAATCTAATCTAATCTAATCTAATCTAATCTCAGGAAACTGAATAAAAAATACATCTATGACCAACTCTCATGAATAATCCCATGAAAACGACCAGGAGGTCAGAGGCTGAGTGGGTGTCGATGTCGCCTGGCATCAACACACATGACACAGAAATATGACATCCACCCCGACGCCAACCTCCCATCAGCCTCAGGGGCCAGAGAGATGGGGAAGATGAGGAGGAGGCTGAGGAGGAGGAGGAGGAGGAGGAGGTGGTGATTTACTCGTCATGTCCAGCCCACGGATCAGCTCCATCATCTCTGTGAGTCTGGGGCCCTGAGGACTGTTGGTGTGAACACATTACAGTGTTGCTGCAGACGCACAGAGACATGGAGACCCGTCATCCAGACTGAAACACAACCTGAGTCCTCCGCTCTGTGGTCGCAGCTGTTCATTAAGCTGACGGCAGGAAAACACTCCAGGTTCATCTCAGCTACTTTCTACTAACTGGATTTAGCTTGTATTGAGAACTTGCAGAACATTTAATGTGAGATCAAGATGTTAAAGATCATAATGAAGCAGATGTGATGTGATGTTAAGTATTATTTCATGTTAATAATTGAATTAAGGCTCAGTAGGTGACGATCAGTGTTATTCATGTCCATAGCAGGGACACTGGTTCCCCAGAGGAGAGTCATCTGTTCATAAACTCAGAATATTTTAGTTTTTAACAACTTTATCTTCACTTTTCCGCGTTTTTGTGTCACATCATCAGCTTTCAACTCATTGAGAATATTTACCTGCCACCAGTTGTGTGTGTATCCTGGTTTAAAGCAGTGGTTCTTGACCTTTTTGAGTCGCAACCCCCTCCAGAAACCCCTCCCTCTTGACTTACCTTTGAAACAGTGACCCATGTCACATTGTGGCGCCCTGCCCTGTCGGCTCTGGTGTTTACTCACCTTCACATATCTCTTCTTCGCCTCCAGCAGACATTCTTTGAGAAGCCATCGCTCCATATTCAGCCACTTTGCAGTCGTTAGCGAATGTTTAACACCTGCCTGCTGTGCTGTGCCACGCTCATTCTCACACACTAATTTCACTCATCTGCTCAAACCTGTTAAACATTATAACATCAGTATGGGAGA